GTGATGCAGATTTCAGGGGTCAGGAGTAAGTGATGCAGATTTCAGGGGTCAGGAGTAAGTAATGCAGAGTTCAGGGATCAGGAGTAAGTAATGCAGATTTCAGGGGTCAGGTGTAAGTGATGCAGAGTTCATGGGGTCAGGAGTAAATAACACAGAGTTCAGAAGTCAGTAGTTAGGGGTCCATAGTGACAAGGAGTTTAGGAGCCAAAAGTAAGTGATTCAGAGTTCAAGGGTCAGTAATACATGACACAGAGTTCAGGGACCAGGAGGATCAGGAGTAAACGACACACAGTTCGGGGGTAAGTAATAAGTGATGTAGAATTCAGGTATCAGAAATAAGTGACACAGAGTTCAGGGGTCAGTAGTGATACAGAATTCAGGGATCAGGAGTAAATGACCTTGAGTTAAGGGGTCAGGACTAACTGATGCAGAGTTTAGGGCTCAGTAATAAGTGACAGAGTTCAGAGGTCAGTAGTGACAAAGAATTCAGGGGTCAAGAGTAAGTGACACAGAGTTCAGGGGTCAGTAGTGAGTGACACATAGTTCACAGGTAAGTAGTGACAAGGACTTCAGGGGTCAGAATTAAGTGATGCAGAGTTAAGGGGACAGGATTAAGTGATGCAAAGTTCAGGGGTTAGTAGTGAAACAGAGTTCAGGGGTCAGGAGTAAGTGATGCAGGTTTCAGGGGTTCATAGTGATGCACAGTTCAGGGGTCAGGAGTAAGTCATGCAGGGTTCAAGGATCAGTAATAAGTGACACATAGTTCAGGGGCCAGGAGGATCAGGAGTAAGCGACACAGAGTTCAGGGTTCAGTAATAAGTGAAACAGAGTTCAGGGGTCAGGAATACATAACACAGAGTTCAAGGGTCAGGAGTAAATGACAAAATTCAGGGACAGGAGGGCTATGCGTAAGTGACACAGAGTTAAGCGGGTCAAGAGTTACTGATGCAGAGTTTAGGGGTCAGTAATAAGTGACACACTGTTCAGGGGTCAGGAGTAAGTGGCACGGAGTTCAAGGGTCAGGAGTAACTGATGCAGAGTTCAGGAGTCAGTAGTGACACAGAGTTCAGGGGTCAGGAATAAGTGACAGAGCACAGAGGTCTATAGTAAGTGATGCAGAGTTCAGCAGTCAGGAGTAAGTGAGACAGATTTCATGGGTCAGGAGTAAGTAATGTAAAGTTCAAGTGCCAGGAGTAAGTGATGCAGAGTTTAGGGGTCAGTAATAAGTGACACAAAGTTCAGGGGTCAGGAGTAAATGACAGAGTTCAGGGGCCAGGAGTAAGTGGCACGGAGTTCAGGGGTTAGGAGTAACTGATGCAGAGTTCAGGAGTCAGCAATAAGTGACACAGAGTTCAGGGGTCAGGAATAAGTGACACAGACTACAGAGGTCCATAGTAAGTGATGCAGAGTTCAGCAGTAAGGAGTAAGTGAGACAAAGTTCAGGAGTAAGTGATGCAAAGTTCAGAGGCCAGTAGTAAGTGAGGTAGAGTTCATGGTCAGCAGTAAGTGAAGTAAAGTTCAGGGGTCAGGAGAAGCATGGCAGAGTTCAGAGGTCAATAATTAGTGAGGTGAAGTTCAGGGGTCAGTAGTAAGTGGTGCAGAGTTCAGAAGTCAGTAGTAACTTTTTCTAAGTTCAGAGGTCAGTAGTAAGGACCCTTTATCCACAGTACAGCCACACAGGCCTCCACTGCACAGCTTACCACTTGGACTTATGGCATTCCTTCTGTCCTCAGCGTGGGCTCACTTCCTCCTGTCCCTGGGTCCGGGAGACAGGGTTAGCAGGAAAGTAATTGGCCTTAGCAGTGGCCAATCATGCTCCTTCTCCCCCTGAAAACAAGGAACAGAACAGGGTTTCCCCATGTTGTGCAGTGTGTAAGGGAACAGTGGGCCCCCATCCTTTGGAACTCTGTGCACTGCAGACATTGCATCCATGGAGGATACACCACTGGGCAGGGGTGCTAACAATGGTCAGCTTTTATTCTTTTGTGTAAAACCTTTATCCCAAAAAGTAAAAAAATCTGTTTCTATAACTGCTTAAAATGTGTTAGACTTTAATTTGTTAAATACTTATTTCAAGTTTAATCCAAATCTATTAGTCCATCTAACACTACCCTCCTCAGACAGTGCTGTCATACAAGGGTGCCTCTGTTGCTCCTTCATAGATAGAGAAGTGCATGAAGTTGGTCACTGGCCAGATCACCAGGTGAAAATAAAGGTGAAAAAAAGGAAACTAATGCAGCCACCATCCAAGGACTGGGTCATATTCAGAGTGTTAAAAAATTTCCAGCATGCTGTACACATTCTTTTTCTGTTATCTTTCCATCTCTCAGCACTCACCAATGCTGGTACATTTTCTATGCACTATCTAGCTGTCACATGTGACACAGATCAGTTGCAAAGCTTGTAAAAAAGTCGAGTAATGAGTGGCATGCCAAAGTAAAACAGCAAATGAAAGCACAAAAGCCTCCTATAAAGCTAGCTATTGACAATGCAGAGGAAATGAAGCCGTCCTGATAAAACACATGTTTTGGACTAAGAAGCAGCTGTGACAAACAACAGGATGTCAGGGAACAATAAGGGAACACACTGGATTCATGGCACGAACTCTTGATCAGTGTTTACAGGCCATAGCCTAAGCTCTCAGCTGGATATCCACTTAGATCTCCTGATACACAATCGTATGGAGGATTAGACAGTAAGATGAGTGTAATGCTCTTATATATATCACTCCATCGTTATAATCCACCGGGAGGCTGCTCCTGCGTTTCTGTAAACATTCTAAGATCTGTATGAATGTCTGTAAATTCATACTCTTCTGGCTCACAATATTCTCCCTAGGTTGAGTCATGGTGTTTTTCATTCTGGCCACTGACTGGACGATCTCACAGGTACCTGCTCAAGTTGACTGTTGTGAAATGAGTATCACTTCAACCATTTTCAAGATTCCCCCAACGGTTGGTGAGTGCACACTTATAATTACCCTTTCTCAGGGATAATTTAATTATCTGAAAATCACATCCAACAGATTTTCGAGGGTTGAAGCCAAATTTTTATACAAGCCGTATATGGCCAAAGTATTGCTGACATTGCTGAAATTGGTCACATCACTGGTAAGAATTGTATCACACGTGGCCACCATAAGCTAGCCATATATGGCCCAATGTTGTCTTTCAACAAGAGAAAATTGTTCTAATCCTTCATCCATGCTAAACAACAGGTATGGAGGAATCTCCCAGCTATTTTATTCAGCCAATAAAATTGTGATGCCAATCTGATACAGTTACTGTTTGCCAGAAAATTTTCCACCATGCTAAAGCCAGCCATAGATCGAAGTCGAATCTCAGCCAGTTCAACAGGGGCCAAGAATCCAACTATCTATGGGCAGACTGATTGTACCCAAGTCAATCCATCTATTGACTTGGGCACAACCGGCATGTTGCATTTTACATTGTTGCCGAGAGAACACAATCACTCTGCAAAGTTGACTATGTTGATGGGGTAATTGGGTGATTTTCTTTCCTGCACCCTGTAATTGCAGGAAAGAAATTCACACCATCTACATCCTGCCTTGGTCAGTTTCTAAATTGACTTTTGTCAACCTGGTTGGTGTTTGTAGCTTCAGCAAATTCAGCCAAAATTTGAGCTGTCTATGGCCAGTCTTAGGCTTCTTTCAAGCAGCCAAATTGTTCATGGTGTAGCAAGTATCTTGTGGAAAACTGAAGCTGGGTGCCCAGGTGTATACAGACAGCTGCTTCTGGGATGCCTATACAAAGCAATGACCAACAGCAACTGCAGCTGTCCACCAGTGTTCGGAAGTGATCACACAGGGCATAGATAACCTGCGGTTAGAGAAAGATGATCACAGCGAACAGCTTGCATCCAGATCATCTGCTCCTAACCACAGGTAATTGCTTCCTATGTGATTACTTCTGAACACTGTCAGACAGCTACGGCCTATGTCAGCCTGTCATTGTTTTGTACAGGCTAACCGGCCATGGCAGTCTGTACACACCTTAGCTCCTGGCCATGGTTTTCCACAAGATACCTGCTGATTTAGCCATATGAATGAGGCCCTAAGTGCTTATAGATGGACACATGTATAGTCAATTGTGTTTACAGATCCGCTTATCAATGTCCCAAAAGTCATACCACCAAACCCACAGAGATATTTTACATCATTCACTCTGTTAACACATTCTGGCGCAATTGTGGCTAAAGGATTGTTTCCTCTTCTAAGGAATTATGGTGTCCATTTATGAACCAGCGGTAAATGATCGCTGCTCAGTTCTCCGGAATTCTCGGAGAACACAGTTCTCCTGTGAATGCCTTTTATGAAGCGGTGTAGATCAGTTCTCCGAACGAAGGGAGAACGGTCTACAAACGCTGGAAAATGGCTGCTTTTACTATAATCTCGGGAGATTACAGTAAAAGATCAGTTTACTATGCAGTGGTAAATTATCTCTGCTTAGTTTGCGGTTCCTCCGATTCTCCAGCTCTGGGCTGGAGAATCTGGAGGGAGAACACAGATCTCCAGCGAAGAGCTGAACATGTTCTCCACTGATCTCCTGAGTGTCATAAACTGTGAATGACCAGAGAATAGCTGCGATCCTCTGAATCGCAGCTATTCTCTGTATCATAAACGGACCCCTAAATTGGAAATCCATGAACAGTTGTAATTACTTCCAATGCCCATAAGTTTTTAAAAGCCCATATCTTAACCCCTACATGACTTATTATCATAAGATCAGTCACAATCTTTTTGTGAAAGTGAAGAGCCTAGCTCAAAGCATGTCCAAATAGAACTTGTTCCTGCTGGCTATTTTAATAAAGGAAGAATATTATTTTGCATCTCGGTGTGCGGTATTGCTTCTACAACAGATCAGTCAGATTGCCAGGAAACGTGGTGATGTGTGTGGTTGGCTTTGGTCCTAATGGGCAACATAGTATGTCCTAAACGCAAACAAACTTAATTTAAAGATATAACAAGAGAGGACACTTACATGTTCGTCTTTCCGACAGTGTGGTCACCAGTAGGGAGGAAGCCAGCAGGATCAGACAGACTGGACTGAGTAACATCATGTTCCGTTATAGAGAGGAGGCAGAGGCTGGTACAGCCCGGCCTGCACACTGCTCGGTTTGTGAGCTCAGCTCAGCCTCTTGTTCAGTATGCTGGGCTGGGGGGAGCTGCACACTCTGGAGAGAGGCCCAATGATTCCAGGGCAATTCCAGGAAACATCCCTCCCCTGTCCACTGACAAGTACACAAACACAGGACCCTGGGATCAGGTATCCACATGGATTATTAGGCTTTATCAGATGGGAGGCATTGCAAAACAGCAGGGTATTTACATTAAACCTCTTCACCAACGCACAGCTGACTGTTTACAGAGAAACTGCTTATGTGACAAAATGGACTTTCATCTGGAACAAAATGACTAAATCAGGTCACTTCATTTAAAGGACCGTTCTAGAAAAAAAAAAAATATTGTATTCTGCTAATTGTATGGAGATCAAGAGGAACCTCACCCCTACCCATGATTTATATTTTCCATATGCAATGGATTTCCAGGTATGGCAGTTTACAACTAGTTACATTGGTCCAGCTTGGAGCACTGTAAGTATGCATGTGCCATACCTGTGGGATCCCCGTGGAAGCTGGAAATCACACTACTACAGTGATCTACGCTAGCTTCCAGGTCCCATGTCAAGCAGCTGCCCTGCTGCTTTCTGAACACTGAAGGTTGCTCACTCGTTATGAATGTCATTTAACCACTTCCCGTCTGGCCCATGTAGATAAACAGCTGGATGGGAGTGCTGCCGATGTGGGTGGACGTTTCTAACTGTCCCCCCACATCCATTGCCTGTGCGCTCTCCCTGGGAGTGCGCGGCACTGCGATAGGTGCCCGCTCTGTCCGGAGAGAACGCACATCACTGTACAGGACCTCTGTACATAAATGGCTGGACGGGAGCAGTGCAGGAGCGGGTTGCCGTTCATAAACAGCATCCGCATTTTCAGGCTGCGCGCGCGCTCCCTGGGAGTGCGCGGCACTGCGATAGGTGCCCGCTGTGTCAGGAGAGAACACAGATCACTGTACGGGACCTCTGTACATAAACGGTTGGACGGGAGCAGTGCAGGAGCGGGTTGCCGTTCATAAACGGCGTCCGCATTTTCAGCCTGTGCGTGCTTCCTGGGAGTGAGCGGCACCGCGATCCGATGCCCGCTGTGTCCAGAGGACACAGCAGAACACCAATCGCTGTACGGGACCTCTGTGTGAGATCCAGATTCATGTGATCACTTATTGGCCAATCAGTGATCACATGAATAGTAATAAGCAAGATGTCACTTCTGACATCATTAATTACTACTTGTGAAATCTGTGAATGATCACAGAGGTCACATGGTACAAGGCTATTTACAAAAGCCTTGTACAATGTGACAAGCTGTGACCAATCACAGCTCTCTCAGTATTTATCAATGGCTGCAGGAATGCAGCCAGAGAGAAAGAGAAATGATTGATTTTACAGTCTTTATGGGTGTAAAAGCAGTTAGTGTAAAAAAGTTGAAAAAAATCTATGGTGACACTGTACTGCTAGGGTGACAGTATGTTAAAAAAAAAAAACATAAATTATAAAATAAAAAAAAATAAAAAATGTAAAAAAATGTTTTGAAAAATTATAATTTTTGGTTATGAACTAATTTGGGTTATTTTTTTTTTTTTTTTACTAAAAAGATAGATGAATACATTTTGGCCAAGATTTATGAAGAAAAATTATTTATTTGCAAAATTTTATAAGAAAAACACTTTTTTTCAAAATTTTTGGACTTTTTAATTTATATAGCAAAATAATAAAAAATCCCAGTGGTGAATAAATACCATCAAAATAAAGTTTTATCTGTCTCAAAAAAAATGCTAAAAAAATTCATATGGGTACAGTGTTGCATGACTGCGCAATTGTCATTCAAAGTGTGATAGCACCAAAGCTGAAAATTGGCCTGGATTGGAAGGGGGTCAAAGTGTCCGGACTTGAAGTGATTAATGAACATTTTGCATTTTCTCAATAAATGTAAAACATTCTTGGATTGGACAAGGTGGAGAGAAGAGGCAGTGACATTACAATTTCCTCCTCGTCCAATCAGAGAACATTTTGCATTTACTGAGAAAATGCAAAGTATTCTCTGGCTCCCTGGTGACCTCCTGTGTTCACGAAGCAGCAGGACAGCTGCTTTGCACTGGCCTCAGAACAGTAACAATCACTGTAGTAAAGGGGCTTAGTACAGCGATTTCCATCTTCCACAGGGATGGCACATATATAGCCTCAGTTAATAGCACTCTGGGTACAGCTGCAAAGACTAGGCTGTCACTGACAGTGTCACACATACTGCAGCCACTCATAAACAGCCAGTGCTGCAGCTGTACTACCTTTCCTTGCCTGCCTGGGAACACTGAACATTTCCATGGATATGTGCAGGCACAGAGAGCAGAGGAAAGCCCCACCCACCACCCGGGAAAACAGAGAAAGCAGTAATGCTGTTGCTGTGCATCCTGGGAAAGGAGAGAGCCTGCTTGGAGTAGCAAGGACTTGTGGGAGATGTAGTCCTCAGAGACACTGCACCTGGTATTACAGAGTGTTTTGGAACTACAGATCCTAGCATTACCAAAGCTCTTCAGAGGAGGTAAAGGAACACACTCTGTGCAGCAGGCTGCTGAAGGGATGATTTGCTGCAGTGTCAGGGATACAGACAGGCAGAGTTTATGACATCTTGTGGTTTGTGGAAACACTAGTCAAGTCTGCTGTCGCCTACTGGTAGAGAGGAGGACATTATAGTAGCTGAGTAACTGAGGCCTGGAAGGACAGTGAGAGGAGACAAGTCATCTTCCTATGTGTCACTGTCACGGATCCACCCCCACACGCCACGCCCACAGCGACTAGCTAACCAAGGCACGCACGTGCGGCCGTGACTTGGGGTATGAGGGAATAAAGGTGACTTAACTTTGAATATATAAAACCGTATATAAGATCAGCCGTGATTCCCTTTCACAGCCTGCACTACCTTTGGCCACCACCAGATGGAGACTCCATTCCAATCCAGCTGGTCGACCACACACACTGACAGATACAAATCTTATATACAATCTGGTGCACTGATTAGAGTTGAGGACCAGCTTAGTAATTACCCACTCTTCTAGAGTCCCTCCAGCTACCCTACAGCTTGAACCCCGGTGTTAATCACCTTTCCGCTGTTCACACACCCCCTCGCACCAGACACACCACAAAAGGTAGCCTGCCACCACCCAACAGTTTATCCGCAGAACAGTCTGCTGGGACACCCCACACACACAGATCTCCGTCTGGCCGATCTGTTACCTTTTACAATCTGCACGCAATCTGCCCACACACAGTGCAATTGCATACAGATTGGCAGTGAGCTTGACCGAGCGTTTAAAGGCACTAAAATACGATACAATCTAATCTAATCCAATCTAATCTCTCCACTCTAATCTCTCCGGAGATATGAGCACATGCTTAAATACACAGAAGTCACTAATTAATTTTAAGATTTAATTTCCCAAAAGTGGGCAGTGCATAATATATGTACAAAATATAAAAAGTTACAGAAATACAAAAAATACAAGAAGACACACAAATGACTATTCACTATAAAATAAAAAGGGAATGAAACAGAATAAAACTTTTACCAAGATCTATCCTGCGACTGGTGCAAGTCAGAGCGTCAGCAATCCGTCAGTCAAATCGAACTGGCTCCATACGAATCACAAATATCCTAATGCCCGGGTACCACATTTATGGGGATATGGACGTAGGCGGGACATTATTCCTCGGCCAATTGACCATTGGGGGGGGGGTGTTCCTGTACCTGCCCATTATCAACCGAACAGTGCCTACATCCAACCAGATGCAGGCACTGTTTGGGTATTTTTGATGGCTAGCGGGTCCAGTTGCCATATTAGAATAGCCACAGTGAGAGATTCATCCATCCATGCTGTGTAGAGTGAATTAAGGAATCTATTAGTTGAATGAAGAAACGTTCTTTATGTATGGACGTACACTCCTATACCTCATTCATAAGGATGGAGGGAGGCAAATAGTTTGCTGCTTCTAACCACTGCTGCACTCTTTGATATGTATGTGTGCAAACTGGCCAGTTCACCCGGTATGTGTGCAGCCAGAAACATTATCTATGGACTCATGGAGTAGATTTACTAAAACTGGGGCGCTCAGAATCCGATGCATCTGTGCACAGTAGCCAATCAGCTTCTAACTTCAGCTTGTTCAATTGAGCTTTGGCAATAAAACCTGAAAGCTGATTGGTTTCTATGAAGACGGGCACTGATAGGCGGCACTGATGCACACTGATAGGTGGCACTGATTGGCAGCATTGATAGGTGGCACTGACTGGCACTGATGGGTGACACTGAAAGGCAGCTCAGATGAGCACTGATATGTGGCATTGATGTGGCACTGATGGGCACTGGCAGGTGGCATGGATGAGCACTGACAGCTTGCACTGATGGACATTGACAGGTGGCACTGCTGGGGCTACACAGATCATCAGGGCACACTGATCATCAGTGCCCTGATGATCAGTGTAGATGTCCCCTCTGAGGGATGCCAATTACCGGCTCTGCTGTCCTCTCAAGCTGTCAGCGTGACAGCTCGTGATGAGAGAAATGCCGATAACCGGCATTTCCCGTTTTACATGCAATATGCTGTGATTGGACACAGCTGATCACATGACTGAGCGGATATCTTCGGCTCTTTCCGTTGATCGGTGATCCGCTGTGTCCGAGGGACACAGCGCACCACCGATCGCCACGCTGCGTGCTCCTGGAGCCACGCATGCTAAGTTAGAATGGGATGACATTACATGACGTCCTGCCAGAACGAGAGACCCGCCTTGCACCCGTCATTTCACTATATGGTGGGTGGGAGGCGGTTAAAGAGTATGCATAGCTGAAAACTTTTTTTTCCAGTTTTTAATGGAGTAAGCAAAGATTAGAACTTTTATTGCTATTTGGTGCTCCATTACAGATTTACTTCCACTTCCTGTCTTGCTTACAATGATTAGGAAGTGAGGGAAAATATGAAACAGAAACGCAAACAGCAATAAAAATCCATATGCAAAACCATCACACAGAGCAAATAATTATAACATGTTTTAAATTTTTTTTAAAATAAAACTGGATCCTTTATAGTCACTTTAAATAGAAGATTTGGGTAGCACTTCAAAGTGTGTAGAAAGCTTATGAATATATTTAGCCTATTTGTCCTTAAAAAAATGTCTTAAAATGCAAAACACAGGTTTTATACCCTTGACTTTTGAAAGGCTTTACCCGTTCATGACCAGCGCATTTTTTTACTAATCAGCACTGTGCTACTTTAACTGGTAATTGCTCAGTCATGCAATACCGTACCCAAAAGAAATTCAAATAATTATTTTCACATAAGTAGAGCTTTCTTTCAGTGGTATTCGATCACCACTGGGTTAAAAACCCCAATATTTTCTACTTTCTGTAGAGTTGTGTTATTAGGCACCTGTCTAAGGGCTTATTTACACTTGCTTCAAAATGTGGGATTGAACGAACTTTTTATAGCACTCTGAATGGTAGTAAAAGCTCCTGTCACTAAATAAAATGGTAATCTTACAGTCCTGTTTACACGTGTTTGCTTTGCTTCAAAAATCATACCCCATATCGCTTTCTTGGTGCTTCCAAGTGTCTCCTAAGCAGGGGCGGACTGACAACTCATGAGGCCCCCGGGCAATAGGGGATCATGGGGCCCCTGTGTTCTTGCCCAAACTCAAAAAAGCCTATGAAAAGGTACCAGGGGCATCTCATGGGGCCCCCTACTGACCCCAAGCCCTCGGGCAGTGCCTGAGTTTCCAAATGGTCAGTCTGCCCCTGCTCCTAAGCCTCCATAGAAGACTATGACAAAGCTTGCTAGTAGCACCTGCAGCTTTTGAGAGGCTTTTTTCAGCTTTAGCTTTGGTATGCTTTGTTTTGGAGGTATTTCAGCTATGAGATATCCCAGGATACACTGGTAAACCAACAAGTGAATTAGAAAGAAGTCACCATCAGTCACTTCCAGTTCATGTGTATATATTCTGGAAGTATCTGGTGTACACATCACATTTGGTGTGCAGCAAAGGACAGCAGGAAAGTAAGCGGGGTCTGTACAGAAGCGAAGCAACTAACAGACAGCACACACGGTGTGCAACGGTGGGAAAGTTATAGCAGAAGGTGTGCAAGGACCGAGAGAGAGAGGAATGAGCAGCAGAGGAGCAGAGGAGCAGCAGAGCTGGGGATTTCAAACAGAATAAACTAGCAATGTCCCATGTGGTGCACAGCATAGGAGCAATATAGAGGGAGGTGAGCAGGGGCAGGGAAAGCGGAGGATCAGCAAACCGGAGAATCAGCAGAGCTGGGGTTACTACTGAGCAGGGGGATCAGCAGAGCTGGGGGCTACTACTGATTGGGTGATCAGCAAAGTTGGTGGTTAATACTGAGTGAGGGATCAGCAAAGCTAGGGATACTACTGAATGGGGCATCAGCAGAGCTGAGGGTACTACTGAGCAGGGGATGTATGAAACAGGGGTACTAATAAGCTGGGGATCTTTTGAATGAGGGTAGCAATGAGCTGGGGATCTGCTTAAAAGGGGTACTAATGAGCTGGGGATCTGAGTGGGGGTACCACTGAGCTGGGGTTCTACTGGGCCTCTTTAAAACAAATAGAAAATCAACACATGGGGCATTTGCTAAACTTCAATAAAGCTTCAAAAAAAGCATAGTTGAAGCATCACTGAATCATCACTACAGCATTAAAAACACATCAAAAGAGCATGTTGAAGCAGTAGGGGCTTTAATGTGTGTTGAAGTACAAGCAAGTGGAAATGAGCCAATAGTGTATGGTGATATGTGCAGTTTTATGTTGGACAATACTTGTATTTATTTAATTTATTTTATTTAGTTAATATTTTTCATTATGCATGCATTATTTGTTAGAGGTTTCACTGCACTCTTTTGCCTTTGGATGATTTTAGGGACAGTGCTGCACCTCTTTATTGAACACTTTTTTCTGTAGGTGTGGGAACACATAGCTAATGCTAGCTGCAGCATCACTTATAGGATATACCAGTGGCAGCACATAAGTTTTCCACTAACATTTATAGCCCTCAGTATAGGGCTTAGGGGCAAGATATTGGTCCCCTGTTATTTTCGGAGTTACTCATTACTTTGTAACTATTCCTGTATACTTGTATATGTGTTGCAACAATTAATGTTAACACTTTAGCCTTGATGTGTTGGAGAGTGTGGTGCTGCCTACAGAGCTGTCGGCACTGGGAACTGGAGACCTGAGACGGCAGCATTTTCAGGGGTAAGTGCTACATGTGTAATGTCCACCATAAGAGCACTCTGTCTACTGGGTGACAATGCTGCTACATGATTCACTGCAAAAGCTACTGGAACAAAATTGGATGTTCTGGATAAATGGGGTAGTATACATGTGGCCTTGATGGGAATTTATTTTTCTTGGGTCTTGCTAGTGTCCCCTACCTACTGTGTCTCTTCTTGCACAGGAACCTTTCCATAAAGCTAATTCTCTGACCCTGACTAGCATGGATCCTCTTCCTACAGTATCCACTTTACAAATGCATGCGGGGCACTGCTATTTATTAGCCCTTCCCCAACCAAGATGGCTGTAGAAGGTTACTGAGCAGCAGCAGTGTCCAATTAGACAGCTGCTTCTCCCTGTAACATCTATGGAGGCTGCAGGGGGACATCATTCCCCTTAGGACTCCATTCCATTCTCAAGGCTGCAAGGCTTCACCAGCTGGGTGGGTTAGGAACTACACCTGTGCGTGCACTGCACTTCTCCAATCTGTTTGCAGATGGCCCCTACAGGAAGGCATCATTAACAGAATATTTTCTCATTATGCCTGCCTCTCAAATGTGTTATGTGAATACAACGATATTTGTCTTTTTATGGTTTAATTACAATTCTATACTAGGCCATCACACTCTTTGTTCTCTGTTATGGCTTATTGGTCCTGCATTGTTCTTGATGATGACCGTGTGTGAATATCCAGTCAGAACGTTAGAAGAGGCTTCAAAAGAGAAGTAGGGGCCGAATATTTTTTGGTTATACTTCTCTTGTGGTTTACAGAAGTGTACTAACTTGTGCTCTTCTGGGACCCAGAATCAGATGACAGAGGTTTAAAGCTTGCTGTCAGCTGACATCACTAAGCCACTGTAGGGTCTGCTAGGATCCCAACTGTATTATCATGATCCACCCAGCTGTCTGACAGCAGGCTCTGACTCTCAGCATTTGACTGAAATCCAAAGCCAACTTCACCTGCCCCTCTCCAGCCCAGCACTCCAGTGAGCACTGGAGGGGCAGGACAGAGTTGACTGTCAGTCACCATTCTCTGCTCCAAGCAGACTGAGAGCTGAGCGATCATTTGTCATTTCATTTCTCAGTTCTTGGGCTTAGAGTTGTTGGGGACAGCTGCAGTATCAGACCAATTTTTTTTTTGTTAAAAAAAATACTTTATTTTATATAAAATATATACTGTAAAACAGGGCTTAAAATTTTGAGTCTAGACCTACTAGCCAGGCACAAACCTTACTCTCCACCAGTTGCCCCACCCAACCTTGCCCAGGTTCGCCTTCAACCCCACCCCCGGACCGTCCCCCAACCCTGCCCCCAGCCCTGTACCCAACCACACCCCCTTAAAGCTTATGAAATTACATTTTTCTTTAGAATAAAGAGTCCAAAATATAAAACTGTACACAGTAATGTATATCCCAGCTCCCCTGTACTCCATTATAGTGATATGACATGTATACCATGTATATCCCAGCTCCCCTGTACTCCATTATAGTGATATGACATGTATACAGTAATGTATATCCCAGCTCCCCTGTACTCCATTATAGTGATATGACATGTAGACAGTATAATATATCCCAGCTCCCCTGTACTCCATTATAGTGATGACATGTATACAGTAATGTATATCCCAGCTCCCCTGTACTCCATTATAGTGATGACATGTATACAGTAATGTATATCCCAGCTCCCCTGTACTCCATTATAGTGATGTGACATGTATACAGTATGTATATCCCAGCTCCCCTGTACTCCATTATAGTGATGTGACATGTATACAGTATGTATATCCCAGCTCCCCTGTACTCCATTATAGTCATATGACATGTACACAGTAATGTATATCCCAGCTCCCCTGTACTCCATTATAGTCATATGACATGTACACAGTAATGTATATCCCAGCTCCCCTGTACTCCATTATAGTCATATGACATGTATACAGCAGTGTATATCCCAGCTCCCCTGTACTCCATTATAGTCATATGACATGTACACAGTATGTATAACCCAGCTCCCCTGTACTCCATTATAGTGATATGATATGTACACAGTATGTATATCCCCTCTCCCCTGTACTCCATTATAGTGATATGACATGTATACAGTATGTATATCCCAGCTCCCCTGTACTCCATTCTAGTGATATGACATGTACACAGTATGTATATCCCAGCTCCCCTGTACTCCATTCTAGTGATATGACATGTACACAGTAATGTATATCCCAGCTCCCCTGTACTCCATTATAGTGATATGACATGTATACAGTAATGTATATCCCAGCTCCCCTGTACTCCATTATAGTGATATGACATGTATACAGTATGTATATCCCCCCTCCCCTGTACTCCACTATAGTGATAT